AATGGCTTACTTATACTTCATTAAACATATCATGTACAGTTGAAGTCAGAATTAATAAACCCCTCAGGAGTTTTAGCCCTCCTGTTTATTCTTTTCCCAATTTCTGTTTACCGGAGAGAAGATTTTTTAACACATTTGAACTAATTTATTTGATCTTTGACATGCTGACAGTAAATAATATTTTACTAAATATTTTTTCAACACACTTCTATACAGCTTAAAGTGAGATTTAAAGGCTTAACTAGGTTAAATAAGTTAACTAGGCTGGTTAGTGTAATTAGGCAAGTTGTATAACGATGGTTTGTTCTGTAGACGATCAGAAAACAAAATACAGCTTAAAGGGGCTAGTGATTTTGATCTAAAAATGTTTTTTAAGAAATTAAAAACCGCTTTTATTCTAGCCGAAATAAAACAAATAAGACTTTCCCCAGAAGAAAAAAATATTATTAGACATACTGTGAAAACTTTCTTGCTCTGTTAAACATCATTTGGGAAATATTTAAAAAAGAAAAAAAATCAAAGGGGGATAAATAATTCTGACTTTAACTTTAAGAGAAAATATTCAGAATAAGCATAAAAATACACTTTGTAAGCGTTAATGCTAGGTTTTCAAATATTACAGTATTTAAAATACATATATAATGCGCATTGACTGCATATTATGTTAGTATAAGAAAAAGTATTTAGAACTGGCAATAAATACACACTTTAGACTTAACATAATGTTTTTTTTTAGAAATATTTCAACTTTATATGAAATGTAAAAATGTTTATCAAGGAAATTTAAAAGGTCTATAGTTGATTATGCATATGTAAAAACTGTAGAATATATTCACTTTAACCCACTTTAAGCTTAACAGCAATTTTTTTTAATAATAAATTCACTTAGATTGGCTCATTTATACTACATATGACATAAATACGACTAATGTATTACTCAAATCAAGCACTATAGTCATAAATGCATCTATAAATATAGAATATAATGCATTGTATTAATAAGTATCAATGCATTGTCTTTTAGGGATGATAAAAATGTCTGTAAATGTCCTAGCACAATTCTTAACAAATGTATTTGTTTGTTATTACAAACAAAGTATGAAAAGTATGAAAAATGATTAACTATAAACAATAAATACATTATAACAATGTTTTAGTGAAAGACCAACTAAGTTTATACACAATAAAAACGTTACATAATGCTTTTAAAATATTATATCAAATGTTTCTTAGTATAATTGAACTACTGTTAGTCGCACACAAATATGATATGGTTTATTTCTACAGGTTTACAGGAGTAGAAGACAGAATAAACACTACCCTTATAAAAAATGTAACACTCTGATATAACATGTTTGTGCAGCCTGAACTCTGTTTTACGTCCTGTAAAAGGTTATGCAATAAAAGTATAAATAAATGTCCCTGACACCCTCCAGATGGCCAAATGTCCCCCACAGAGGTGAGCTCCGGTTAGGCCTTCAGAAACTCTCTACAGTATACCACCAACACACTGACCAAAACACACTCCTCTGGCCACGATCAGCCACCAGATCAGCCACCTGGACAGTGTAGTTAAAAGAGTGGACAGGTCAACCTTGCTCTGAATTGTGGCCATTTGTGCCCACTAACAACTGTCAATTATTAATTGAAACAGGACTAATATTATCTGTAAAAAACTGAAAAGTCTCTCAGATGAAGTTAGTCTATAGAGACATTTCATTTGTGCATCCTAAAACTCCATATTTATAATGCCTCTGAGTCGCCGACATTATCTTCATCAGGTGAAAAGTCTAGTGGCGGATGTCTGCTTCTCACTCAGGGAGGTTTATGTTAATGAGGGAGAGATCGTCCTCAATGGGAGGGCCTTTCCCTCTCTGATGACACATACAATAAGAGAATGTCAACCAAAGTGTTTCTGTGGACTGTTTTTATCGAGTGTTAGTATAAAAAAATAATAATTGTCTTACTATCAAAGACTGGCTATATTTACACTGTTGCCACACAAATGTGCTTACACCACTTATAAAAGTAATTTTTGCATAATAGGTCCTCTTCAATATTCTTACTAAACATTATTTTCGAATGATTATGCTCAAGTTTATCGGTCGAAAAACCTAAACTGTGCCTTTGGAAAAAAAAAGGAAATGATGGACTATATTAAAAGGAAAAACGGCCAATAAGTTTCCAGGAGTTTTAAAAGCCGCTTTGGATGAAAAAGATTGTTGTTGCTTTTTTTTTGTATTGAAATAGACAATTTTTCTTCTGTGTTCAAAAACCCAATATTCATCACATAATATCGAGTATTACAACCTTCTTAAAAGATCAGAGTGCTCTGATTGGCCAGCTGATCAAGAGTGCTGTGATTGGCCAAACACCTCAAATGTGTGGTGGAAATGTAACACATTGTTCTAATCACCAATTTTAGCTTCCAAGTTTTATATAAAGCTGTTGGTTATTTTGTACAAGTTTGTCCATCTTTTGGCCTCTTTAAATGAGTCATGAATTGAGGAAAAAAATGAGCTGGATTTTTTGACACACATCGGGACAATTTTCAAGTGCAATTATAGCTGACGTTTAAAAGGGGGAGGTAAGACACAAGTGGAAAAGCTTACCTGGTAAATACACATGAAAAAAGAATGAAAGTGATATCTTGTTCTGTCCAACAAGTGAGTATCTTGTCTAACAAGCCATTTTGTCTATTTCTGCTTTTCATTAAGATCCATTTAACGTCATGATTTTGCGTGCTCACCGACAGTGAAAATCACTTTGGCATGAATGTCCAAAAATATCTTGAAAAACGCTGCTAATAAGCAAGGCTTAAGATGTTGTGGCATTACAAAAACATCTCATACATTTATTAACTCAAGAGTCGTTCTTAATCACCACCTGTTTAGCCGTTTTGGGGGGGGGGCTCACAACTTATATGTTTTATGTTCAATCCTATTGAATTTGTAAAAACAATTAATTTAATTTAGTTTGTGTTGAGACAACATGAAGAAATTGGGTGGAATTTTTTTTACAGTGTATTAAGGATGCAGGCTGTCAAACATGCATGCAAACGTTTATCGCTGGGCACCATTGATGGGAATAATGGTGCTATAAATAAACAGCATTATTAATGGCGATACTTTATTCAGTAATGAGTAATCAAATAAATAACTGTTCCGCCTGTTACAACGACATTGCCGTTACTGACAATAAATAAGCATTACTAGAATTGAGATCACTGAAGTGGCTTTCATCCAAGCAGTGAGTCTCTCAGACATAGGACCTCTCTTTCTCTGGGATATGCATGTGTGTGTGTGTTTGAGTATTTGTGTGTGTGTGTGTGTGTGTGTGAGTGTGTGTGTGTGTGTGTGTGTGTGTGTTCAGGGCTGGGGCGGGGCAACCAGTGATGATGATTGGTGTGTTTGTGAATGCTATGTAACTGAGAATGCGATGATTGGTTTAGAGTACATTTCCATCGTTTGCCAATTAGAGGCAAAGTAGTGCGGGTGTTTACACACAAGCACATGCACAGGTATGCTGAGTTCAGACGGCATTATTTTCAAAATAGTCGTGTCACAGATGTTTTCGCACTGCATGACTATCTGGGCTAGCGTTTTGTCGCTGCTTTGTTTATACTGCAAGATGGATTGGCGACAGGGGTTTCACTCTGCATGACTTTAAAATAAGAAGAATCGCAGACAACTTTGTCCAAACTTCGTCTCACAACCAAAAACATGTATATCTTTTGTTATTAACTACATAATAAGAAAGAAGCCTTTAATGGGGTAGAAAATGTACCTATTTGCTCACCTGGGTTTAAGGGGGTTAGCAATTTCTCCTCAACTTTTTTCTTTTTTGACCCGGTTGTGATATCGCTCACGACACGGCAAACAGACACGGGTGCTCCTGCCAAATTTACACTAGTTTTTCCTCCATTTCTTGAGTCCAAATTAATTCAAAATAAGCACTTTTAACTTCTCCCCCAACCTCCCACTACCCACATTAGTGGATGCTGCTCTCTCATAGGCTGTAGGTTATAACCGATATTATTTTCAGTCAAAACTTGCCAACAGCTCCAGATATTTAGCACGCCAAATATTTCACAGGCATGGGCGACTCATCGGCGATTCTCTCAGATCGTGTCTTTGATAGTACACATTGTGTAATTGTTACTCGCGTGAACGAGCACGATTTTTCTTTGTAATTTTAGGCATTTGTCTGCAATTTCTTAAAACCTGTAGGCGAGTCAAAATTGGGGCTATTAGTCGCACAAACAAACGACTAGAAGTCTGAACGATGAAAAAACCAACAAGTTCAAAGGTAGCTTTTGCAAACTGAAATTATAAAAGCACTACTTTTCTTTTAAAGTTCATTTATTGTGTTTTATTGTGCAACTATAGTAATGATAATATGTATAATGATGTTGAATTTGATGGTTGTCTCTCACATTGTCCCACAACAACATTAAAATAGTGTAGATTAGGGTACAATGTTTTATATTTATTTTAAAGTCAATTGACAAATTAGATTAAGTAACAAAGTAGTTACTTTTCCTGGTAAGTAGTTACTTTAATAATTATGTAACTCAGTTCCTACCTTATTTAGTAGTAAGTTAGTTATTTACTTAGTTATTTCTGAAAAGTAACTAACTTTAACTAATTACTCTTTTAAAGGAACATACGCAACACTGGTGGGCACACAGCTGTTTTTTAACAAACTTTTGAAAGCTTCAGTCAAACAAATTCAAACTTTGTGTTTTGATCAGGGAGGTCAAGACAGGACAGAAAACACCCATTACTTCTGAATTATAATTCTTTTTTTTTTCTTTGATAATATTATAAAAGGACCTTAGAGAACGGCTCAAAAGAGAAAAAAAAAAAGAAGAAAAAAAGTTAGACCCATTTAAGATAAAATGTTAAAGGTACATTTAAAGTCTCAGTAAAAACAAGCATTTAATCTAAATACTATGCCTGAAACTCTGAAAGATATCAGATGTGTTTGGAGAGTGTTACCTCAGACTGAGTGACAGGCGTCTGACTGATGCCGGCGTTAACTGATGTCCAAGAGCGAGCGGTGAGGACGCAGGCGAACAGTGGGTACAGATCTCCAGCTCCCAGACGCCTGCTGTAGCGCTCGATGCCTTTCAGGTCTCCCTTTATCAAACTCTGCCACAGCCTGCAGTAGTCCAGCCTGAAGTCCTGGTTCAGCACCTTCCACAGAAACTTCTGTTACTGTTTGGCCTTTTGAACAGATCTAACACAAGCTTAAAATCATTCAAATTGTTACCGGTTGGAATGTTAAGCCGTCTCTTTTGCTCAGCAAGGAAGCAATAGTTGATCAAAATGCAACAAACACAGTAATGTTTTGAAATATCACTAGCATTTCAACAAATCTCGACAGATTTGGTGATCAAGATAGTTTTTTTCTTAAAGATTATGGAAGCTTGTTTCCACCATGAAATAATTTAACTCACAAACATTTTACTATGTATGTGTTTGAGTAAACTGTTTATCCACTTTTTAAGTCTTGATGTATCGAATACTGTTTTTGGGTCCAAGCTGCTACTCATTTGAACTGAGAAAATCACACATTACAGTGAATGTTTTATAAAACCATGTTGTACACTACAGTTTGCATCACAGACACCAATATTTTAATAATATATAGAAAACTAATCACTTTCTGGCCATCTGACATTAGGCATGAATATATACACTCGCCTTAATACAACCTAAAATTAACAGATATATAGAGTTGTCAGAGCAATTTCTCTTAAATAGTAATAGAAAGTGTTAGTATTACAAGGCAAGATAAAAAACAGAAGGTAAAATAATTAAAAGATTAAATTAATGATTAATCACGTCTATCATTTTTTGTTAAGATAACTTTGTATTTACAATATATACATGTGTAATGTGCATATTTAATTATATATGTATAAATATACAGATACTATACATAAAATACAAAAATATACAAAAGAAAAAATATGAACATTTATATTTAGATGATGGCGACGCAGTGGCGCTGTAGGTAGTGCTGTCACCTCACAGCAAGAAAGTCGCTGGGTTGCTGGTTCGATCCTCGGGTCAGTTGGCGTTTCTGTGTTGAGTTTGCATGTTCTCCCTGTGTTCGCATGGGTTTCCTCCGGGTGCTTAGGTTTCCCCCACAGTCCAAAGACATGCGGTACAGGTGAATTGGTTAAGCTAAATTGTCCGTTGTGTATGAGTGTGTGTGTGAATGTGTGTGTGGATGTCTCCCAGAGATAAGTTGCGGCTGGAAGGGCATCCGCTGCATAAAAATGTGCTGGATAAGTTGGCGGTTCATTCTGCTGTGGCGACGTCAGATTAATAAAGGGACTAAGCCGACAAGAAAATGAATGAATGAATGAATATTTAGATGATGTGTTTAATTTGTATATATGTATTGTATTATAATGTTGTGACTGTGGTTTTTGATTGTATCACAGTGAGTTGCAAACATTTATTATTACCATTTGTTAACAAGCAGATATTAGTTTTATTCTAAAAATGTCTGGTAACATTTCTTTTTATATTTTGAATAAAAACATTATAATTTAGAGCACATATTTTTCCAGAAAAAAACACATTTGGAGGAGTTATGACATTTTCTTAACAAGTTGTGATTGAATATCAATGTTATTCTACTACATTTTGCCTTCTTTATTCTTCTGAAGTTGGAAATAGAAATGTAACACTCTCAGATATACAGCAGTGCTGACAAAGACTTTTTATTGTTGTTTGTGATTGAGTGATCATAATGATTTTCACATCGAAGCCTTTCTAGGCTGCAAGACTCATTTGTCAAAGGTTTGGTGTAGAGCTTTTTAGTTTGTGTTTTAGGCCTCGTTTCAGTGATTTCCCGTCCGAAAAACCATGCATAATATATATACTTTTAAATAATGTAACAATCATCCATCTTGTTCACATATTATTGTAGCACAGCTTGTGCTGAACATTTCAAATGTACAGTTGAATTAAGAATTATTAGCCCCCTGTTAATTACCCCCATTTCTGTTTATTGGAGAGACGTTTTTTTTTTCCAACACATTTCTAAACACAATAGTTTTAATAACTTACTTCTAATAACTAATTTATTTTATCTTTGCCATGATGACAGTAAATAATATTTAAGGCGTAACTAGGTTAATTAGATTAACTAGGCAGGTTAGGGTAATTAGGCAAGTTATTGTATAAAGATGGTTTGTTCTGTAGACTACATAAAAATATATAGCTTAAAGTGGCTAATAATTTTGACCTTAAAATGTTTTTTAAAAAATTAAAAACTGCTTTTATTATAGCCTAAATAAAACAAATAAGACTTTCTCCAGAAGAAAAAATGTTATCAGACATACTGTGAAAATGTCCTTGCTCTGTTAAACATTATTTTGGAAATATTTAAAAAAAGAAAAAAAAACTAAAAGAGAGTTAAATAATTCTGATTTAAATAAGTACAAATATCAGGATACGCAAAACTTCCGAAGGGCCCCAAAATCACATCAGACCCCTGGGGTTAATAAAAAAATGTTTAAATATATACTTTATATATTTTTTGTTGTTATTTTGACCAATTATCATTTTATGTACAATTTTTGTATTTTGCAATGTCAGAAAGATTGTATTATAAGCGCTTTATGATGCAATTGTAATTCACTCTGGGGGAAAAAAAAAACATCTGCTAAATGACTAAATTTAATTGTAGAAGATGTGGAAAATGTCAAAATAGAGGTGACTCTTAGGTATCAATATTTAAGCATTGGCATAACAACATTAGTGCTCTGTAAAAAGTTCATTTATTATTATTTTTAATTATTCACAAAGTATTCATTTACTAAAAAAAAAATGAAGGTTTACTCAATATTTTGAAAGGTTTACTTTTTTTTTAAGTAAAGTTATCCAATTGGTTTTTACAGTGTGATTCATATTGATGCATAGTTACTCTATAATTTTAATTGGTTTTACACTGGAAAATTAACAAACATCATCATTAACTACTAACCCAAAAACTACAGCTATCTAAAGTTTACATTCATAGTCTTAGAGACCCGAATAAATGGGAACTTGTGTTTTGCGAAGTTGTTAGTATCACAGAAAGACAGATGAGATTACTGGATAGTTGCTAATATGAAATCTTATGGGCCTCATTAAATGTTGGGGTTAAATTAAAGGCCAGCAAATCCCTCATTGAGACAAACAGAACTCGTTGAGACACCACTAGGACTGCAGCATTTTGCCACTCCAATTAATCAACACTGACACAAACTAAACACCACATGCCATGTGTTAGAGTTTTGGACCAAGAGAGCAACCAAATGTTAATGTCATATTTATCACCGTATAATCTCCAAGGATTTATTAAAACGAAGAAAAACATCATGTGGGATTACAGAAGTTCAGTGATCTGCATGGATGGTGTGTTTGCATACACTATCGGTCAAAAGTTTGGGATCAGTATAAGAATGTAATTTTAATGTTTTTACAAACTTATTCTGCTCACCAAAGCTGTATTTGTTGGCAAAATTGTGAAATATTATTACAAATTAAAATAACACATTTCATTATGAATGTACTTTAAGATGTAAATTATTCCTGTGATTTAAAGCAGAATTTTCAGCATCATTACTTACCACTAATAATAATAATAATAATAATAATAATAATAATAATAATAATAATAATAATAATAATAATAATAATAATAATAATAATAATAGTAGTAGTAATAATAATAATAATAATTATTATTATTATTATTATCCATTTTAAAAAATCTTAATTGTTCAAAAAAGAAAATAAAAAATCTATTAAAAATAATAAGAAAAAAATTTTCATCTCAAATAAATGCTGTTATTTTTGGTGCATTATTTTTTTTTTATATAAATATGCATCACAGTTTGTCAGAAAAAAGTACCATTTATAATAATTGAAAACAGTTAATAACTGATCATAACATAACAGCGATTCATAATATTATAATTTCTTTTTTCAACTTTATTTATATTGATTTTAATTATATTATAAAACCCAGCAAATAGTATAGAATATCAACTTATATAATATTTCAGAATGTACTTTCCCACCCCAACATTAGTGAAAGAGAAATGACATTTAAATGAATTATAAAAGAAAAGGAAACACTATTAAAAAATACATTTAAATTGACCAATAAAAGCATTCTACAAATTAGGAAAGCATTTTTAAAAAGGCAGAAAGTAGTTGTGGGATTGGCGTTGCCCAACTTTACGTATCACAATTGGTCTTGTAACATTGATAAATTTATTTGACAGATCCTGAAAATTAGGAGAATGAACTTGTATGGATAGAGATGGAGAAGGTATCCTGCGGGACAGTTTCTCTATTTTCAATGCTTTGTGCCCCACTAACATGTAATAGAAAGCATCTGTCAAACAATCTTATTGTCAAATGGATTATTCTTTATTAAGACCATAAGTTTTATTCTTATGGTCTTATGGATTCAAAGAGCAGCAAGGATAAAACTTCTATACAGCTTAAAGTGACATTTAAAGGCTTAACTAGGTTAATTAGGTGAACTAGGCAGGTTCGGGTATTTAGGCAAGTTATTGTATAATTATGGTTTGTTCTGAAGGCAGTCGAAAAAAATAGCTTAAAGGGACTAATAATTTTGAACTTAAAATGGTTAATAAAAAAAATATTTATTTATCTATTCTAGCTGAAATGAAACAAATAAGATTTTCTCCAGAAGAAAAAATATTATCAGACATATTGTAACAAGTATTCCTTGCTCTGTTAAACATCAATTGGGAAGTATTTAAAAAAGAAAACTAAACTACAGGGGGGGGGGGGGGTTCTCTTCCTTGTTGTCTCAAAGGCTTATACTTCTACAGTGGAAGTCAACTACTAAACCACCAACACACACTAAATGGGTAGAAAATGTCATGGCACATATCAAGCTAGAAAAAATATTGCACCCAAAGCTCATACAATAGATTCTTCATAGATTAGAGTCCATTCCTGTCATATTTTTGACAACAAATTTATTCCAAATACTTGAATTTTCTTTAAGTCTATCCAGTAATGTCTTATAAAACAAGGATATCATTCCTCTATTATTTATGTGATTTAAAAATAAGTTGTTTTAATGTAGAATTTATGATGATTTCTGAATGATCACAACACTGTCGACCAGACTAAATTTAGCTTAGAATCACATGAATAAATGACAATACAAAAAATCATTTAAATCTATACAATATTATTGGAGTTATGATCAAACAAACACAGCCTTGGTAGAGAGAACAGACTTTTTCAAAACAATAAAAAAGTCCTGATAATGTATTTTTCCAGTAGTGCATCTCAGCTTATAATAAGAAAGAGGTGAAAATGTGCAGTTCCTAAAACACACTGGAGCTTCAGGGCCACTTAAATGAAATGCTTTTAGTCTGCAGCCGCATATAAAGGCATGAGTGCTGCTGACCCGGGGGCCGCGGGTGAATAATGGGGTGTAATATGTGATGAATTTGCTTCTCTGTCGAGTCTGTGCCGATGTCTTACCTGATACAGGCCGTGATCGAGTAACACAATTTCCGTTTTATTGCTTTCAGGACTCTTTCGAACCAGCACGTTGCCTGGGTGAGGATCGCAGTGCACGAAGCCGTTGACGAAGATCATCTCGCTGTATATCTTGCCCAGGTTTCTGGAGATCTGAGAGAGAGAGCAAAAAAAAAAAAAAGAGAGAGAATAAGAGATGCAATCATGCACATTCACTGGAGATCTTTTTTCTCTCTTGTATGCTTAGGTTAAGTATTTGCTTATAAATTCAAATATTTTATTGTTAATCATTGTTTTTAACCTTGCACACACCCAATAAGAAACACCACTCATTTTAATGGTCTGGCTTTTGACTTGATTAGATGACTAGATTACTGTAATTATTTCTATTTAAACTTCTAAATATAACAAAATATAACTAAATATATCTGAGTGAGCTAAAGAACAAACTAAATAACATGTACAATGAAAAAAAAAGTTATGACTAACAAAATGTCACAAAATAGCATATCATTTGTAATATACATTCATTAATTAATTGGTAAAAATATTTATTAATTATTTTTTATTTTTCTTTATATTTATTTATTTATTTGTTTGTTTAATTATTCATTCATTTAGTTATCTATTTATTTATTATAGATCTATCTATACGTTTATTTATCTATTTATTAATTAATTTATTATTTATTTATTTATCCATATATTTATCTATTTATTTATTTGTTCATTTATTTATCTATCTATTTATCTAGTTATTTATTTATCTATCTATTCATTTATTTATTTATCTAGATATTTATTTATTTTTCTATTTATTTCTTTATTTGAATGAAATTTTTATTTGACAGATTTTAGACAAACTGTATACAAATACAAGCATCCCATACATTTTGAAATAAAATTGTCGAGGATAAAACACAATAAAGCCCTGAGCTGGATTCCATTGTGGTCCTCGCAGTTAAAAACAACAACATATGGCTGTAAATTACAGTTAATAAATAAAACAAAAAGTACCAGTAACAAAATTATTCACAATACAATAACATAAAAAAACATCATCGTTTACCATGCAAACTAACTGCCCTCATCAAACAACCAATTTTTGATAGCTTTTTTGAACAACCTTAAGTCTTTTATTTCCTTGATCAATTTTAATAATTTGCTCCACGTTTGCACTTGCATATAAAAACATATTTAAATATGTTAATAACCAAATATTTAAATAACCAAATAATAAAAATCACAACCCAGGACTATATAAGTGCTGTTGCCTCACCATTCGAAAAACACTTTACCAAGTAACTAGAAACCATTTTATGTATCATTTTATTAACATTTATTTATCATTTACAGACACATTTTATTGTATATTATTATTGTTTTCCACTGCTTTATAATGCTATAATGTATGTATAATGTTCATTTAACTTTTATCATATTAGTTACTGCTCTTAGTATATGAAATTGTAAAATAAAAACGTATATTTTTAGTTTTCTATATCTAGTTTTTTATTTTTTTATTTTAATAGAGGGCCAATTATTGCAAGTTATTTGAAATAAAAAAATGTTTTATTTTGCTATTTTATATAGTGACTGCAAAACCATAAATGTAAAAAATATTAAATGAAAATTTGATTTATCTGAAAGCTGAAAAAATAAGCCTCCTATTTATGAATACTCAGGAAATGGCAGTATTTAGAGAGATTTTATTTTTTTTGACAGTTGTGGATCTAATAAAAACACCTTTAAATTTGTCTAAATCAGGGGTCTCAACCCAAAATTGGCAGGGGGCCAAACAAATTACTGACAAATCATTGGAGGGCCACTTTACATTTACATTTACATTTAGTCATTTAGCAGACGCTTTTATCCAAAGCGACTTACAAATGAGGACAAGGAAGCAATTTACACAACTAAGAGCAACAATGAATAAGTGCTTTAGGCAAGTTTCAGGTCTGTAAAGTCTAAGAAGGGAAGTATTAGTAGTATTAGTTTTTTTTTTTTTTTTTTTTTGTACAGTTAGTGTGATATTCAAAGAGGCAATTGCAGATTAGGAAGTGAAGTGGAGACTAAATAGTTAAGTTTTTAGTCGTTTCTTGAAAGTAGCGAGTGACTCTGCTGTTCTGATGCAGTTAGGGAGTTCATTCCACCAACTGGGCAGATTGAGCGTGAGCGTTCGTGAAAGTGATTTTTTCCCTCTTTGGGATGGAACCACGAGGCGACGTTCATTCACAGAACGCAAGTTTCTGGAGGGCACATAGATCTGCAGAAGTGAGAGCAGATAAGAAGGAGCAAGGCCAGAAGTCACTTTGTAGGCAAACATCAGAGCTTTGAATTTGATGCGAGCAGCAACTGGCAGCCAGTGCAAACGGACTAGCAGCGGAGTGACATGTGCTCGTTTAGGTTCATTGAAGACAACTCGTGCTGCTGCATTCTGGAGCAGTTGAAGAGGCTTGATAGAGTTAGCTGGAAGCCCAGCTAGTAGAGAGTTACAGTAATCCAGTTTGGAGAGAACAAGAGCTTGAACAAGGAGTTGAGCTGCATGTTCAGATAAGAAGGGTCGGATCTTTCTGATGTTATAGAGTGCGAATCTGCACGATCGAGCAGTTCTAGAAATGTGGTCAGAGAAGTTTAGTTGGTCATCAATCATTACTCCAAGGCTTTTCACCATTTTGGATGCAGTAATGGTTGCCCCATCCATCTGGATTGAAAAGTTATGGTGTAGAGTTAACTTTAACATTAAAGCACAACAAAAAGTGCAAACATAATGCATAGATACACTAAGACATAGTTCCCCAGACTATATGCAGTCAAAGCTCCTTCTTTTTTATTCTTATTGTACATATTGAAGGGGTAGTTTAAATTGCTATGAAAATACTGCAATTTAATAACAGGCATAATAACAATTATTATTACTCTGTCCCAGTCTTTGCTCAACCAAAAGTTTAACAGATACCGCAAGAAAGCAGAAACCAGATTGGGTAACTTTAGTGACTTTACTGGCAATTGTTCTTCTCAATATCTTGCTTTTTTTGTAAAACTACAACAAAGAGGGGGGAAGTGTATACAGTTGAAGTCAGAATTATTAGACCCCCTAAATTATTAGTCCCCTGTTTTTTTTTTTTTTTTTTTTTTTTTTTTTACAATTTCTGTTTAACGGAGAGAAGATCTGTCACATCACATTTCTTAACATAATAGTTTTAATAACTCATTTCTAATAACTGATTTATTTTATCTTTGCAATGATGACATTACATAATATTTTACTAGATTTTTTTTTAACGACATTTCAATACAGCTTAACGTGACATTTAAAGGCTTAATTAGGTTAACTAGGCAAGTTAGGGTATTTAATGATGGTTTGTTCTGTAGATTATCGAGAAAAAATATAACTTAAAGGGCTAATAATTATGACCTTAAAATGGTTTTTTAAAATTCAAAAACTGCTTTTAATGTTGTCAAAATAAAACAAATAAGACTTTCTCCAGAAGAAAAAATATTATCAGACATACTGTAAAAATGTCTTTTCTTTGTTAAAGATCGTTTAGGAAATAATAAAAAAAAGAAAAAAATCTAAGAGGGGCTCATAATTCTGACTTTAACTGTATATTCACTTTTACTTTAACACATTCAATTCAGTCAGCAGTCAATTTTTATTATTGTCTTAATATGCATATAAGGAAAATCTATTAAATGAGACCATTTGAATCGAATGTTAGAAAAAGGACCCTATTTACACCACCAGCATAACATGTACGCCATGGAGATGTGTTTGCACAACACAATACAGGTGGTATAAAACTAATTGTAATCAAATAACTTTTGAATATTTTCAAAAATACAGCTTTAGTAAAAATAGAGCACATACGGAAGTATATTTTAACTTTTCAATCAGGCCCAAAAATAATCTGCTTGTGCGTTACTCTCGATCGGACGCTGAGAGAAACCGAAAGTAACCGTAGCATATAGTATTGTGTATATGAGACTGCACAACACTGGCACTAACAATGATCGTGATTCAGAATTATGTCTCATTAAATTTTTGATGTCAGTTGCGGGCTGGAGAGAGGAGGGGGGTGGTCCGCTATTGGCCCATGGGCCGGCAGTTTAAGACCCCTGAACTAAATGAAGTGAATGATAAAATCGGAGTTCTGATATATTTACAGTTAAAAACTACTAAAATGTTATGATATTTATTCAAAGAAATTGATATTTAATTAATTTTCTAAAGATTTGAAATTTGAAATGATATATATATATATATGAGTATGTAAGTATATACTAGTATACATAACAAATCCAATGAATGAAATTGACCTTAATGTGTGCCGTTTCAAAATAAAAGACGCAAAGAATACAGAAAAGAAAAAAAAGAACTAAAAAATAAGTCTACAACCTATGGCATAAATAGCACATGTCCATTTCAATGCAGGGTCGATGGGCAAAGAAATAAGGAGTCCATTTATGATTATGTAAAGCGTTTTTCCCGAAGATGCCTTGGCCCCAACAGAAGAGAAAGTATTTATTATAAAACAACCCCCGATGCAATTATTCCACCCACTCTCGCTCTCTTTGAAGATAAGTTGCGATAAGCATCTCCCCTCAGCTGTGTTATAATGCAGAGAGAGCCAGTGTGAAGTACCATGAGGAAATGTCAGTCTGAAGCACACAGAATAAATCAAACATCTAGTCACACTCCCCTGGCTGCTGTTGTTATGTGCTTTCCCCCAATAATTGGAATTAACTTTAATTGTTTAGCGTAATTGTTTAGTATTTACTTTTTTCCTGATGGCGTGTAAACGTTGCTTCTGGGAATGCAAATAGTGCTATTTTTAAAATGTATGAGGAAAAAGAAGTGAATTGTGGTGATGCATATGTCTTTTTCAGTTTATATAGTTGAAGATAAAATTATTAACCATCATGTAATTTTTTTTTTTACAAATATTTCCTAAATGCTATGGAGAAAACATTTCTTTAACACATTTTTAAATGTATATAGTTTCAATAATTGATTTTTAACAACATTTTTTTGTCTTTGTCATGATGACAATATAAACTGTAGCACAATTATTAGGCAAGTGATTATTTTAACCATATCATCATTTTATCCACAATGTCCAACTCCAAGCTGTATAAACTTGAATGTTTAT